TAAGCAGAGGAATATTTGGGCATGGGGGAGGATCGAGGGTAATTAAGGCCTAATAGGCCGATGCAAGGTTGCATCAGCTTCTTGTCATGCATCCCTGAGTATCTAGTCGTGCACAGTGGGGTCACTTTGCCCTTAACTTTGTCCTTTCTGGTCTAATGTCACAGGTAGAAGTTCCTTTGCACTTTCGTTCCTCCCAGTGTGCAGGTGCCATGGTTTCTGTAACCTGCAAAGTTCTAGGCATAGCATGCTGATTGGTAGGGTGGTTAAGCTGTCGTTGGCTCATTATGGGTCCATTAACTGCCAGGCAAGGAAGCAGGTAGTGCCAATCAAGTCTGAATAATTATGAGCAGCCTCCCTGTGGCATGTCCCTATTCTGTCCTGCCTCAGAAGGAGTTTTGCCTTTGGTCTCAGATGAGACTTTGTTTTTTTGGTTTTTTGATGTTTTTTTTTTAATTAATATTATAATTATTTTACACTCTATAATGTTGTGGAGCAGTTGGGAGGGAGGGGGAGAAGGGAAAGGGGAAAGAAATGGGATGGAAGGAGGAGGGAGGAGGGGCGGGAATTGAGACCTGTGTCACCCCCTCATTCCCACAGGGGAGACCAGGGGGCTTCCAGTGGTGGCTTGGTCAGTACTGGGCTGGGTGCAGATGTCAGGGGGGTGTGGCAAAAGCCCTTGCCCCCCACCGCCCCAGCTCAGGAACCTGGAGCTCTCCCTGCAATGGCTTGGTGGTCAGGGGTGGGCTGGTTGTACACATCACGGGGGCATGGCTGAGGCCCTCTATCCCCCACCCCACAACTCAAGAGAGCCCGCGGCACTTCCTGCAGCAGCTTAGTGTGGGTGTCAGGGGGCGTGGCCAAAGCCTGAGGACCCCCACTGCCCCAGCTCAGGAGTTCCCAGCACGCTTCGTGCAGCAGCTTGGTGGTTGTCAATGGGCTGGTTATGCATGTCAGGGGAAGCACTGAGGCTCTCAGCCCCCCACCACCCTGGCTCAGGAGAGCCCAGGGCGCTCCTGCAGTAGCTCGGTGGTCATCACTAGGCTGGTTGCGCATTTCAGGGGTGTGTGGCTGAGGCCTGAGGCCCCCACCCTTGGGACTGGTTGTGGGTGTCAGGGAGCATGGCTTAGGCTCCCAGCCCTCCCCTCTTTCTGACTTGGTAGCTCAGGGACTTCTGGTCCTTCTAGGTGTTATAGGTGTTCTTTGGTAAAATGAGACCTTTACTAGTTCATATCAAACTTTGTCTCTGGTTGTAGGTACTTTGTTTTTTCTTCCAGTTCTGTGTTTGGTTATTTGTTGTTCCCACCACTTAAACTCTGCTCTGGAACTAATTTGTTGTCCTTTGCTTACTTCTAACTTGGGGGAACTTCCTGTGGGGACCAGCACTTGAGCTCTGTGGTTGAGCTAAATTGCTGCTTTGCTGCTGATTCCGTAGGGAAGGCTTTCTGTGCAGCTCAGGTCTTAATGGTTAACCTTATAGGAACTTCCAGGTCTAGTGAGATCCAGTGCACCTGGGTTGTGTAGAAACTCTGGTCTGCACCTGAGTCTTTTCATCAAACCGCACTCCTTACAATTCTATATTCCTGACCAGTCTCCTCTGAGTGGTCCTACACTGATTGGGGGGCAGATCAGCTATCCTTGCTGTGCCTGTGTTCGCCCAGTGGGGCCATCTTCCCGACCACCCATGCCCCAAACACTTCACCAGCCTCTGAGTCGCTTCCTTTTTTCAGTTGTGGCTCCTTGCTCCTATGTGGGCCTATGGGAACCCTATTAGTGGTCTTGTTGGCCTTGGAGCCACCAAGGCCCTCTTCTCCCCTGCCACCTCCAAGCAACTTCATCTGAAGGGCACAGCTGCAGCTTTTCCCAGCTTCTGCCCTGTGAGCTCAGCAGCTCCAGCCTGGAAGTGGCCAGGATTCAAAATGGTCAGAGAGGTCTTTTCTTTCTCTCTTCATGGCTTCTCCCACCTTCATGCACTCTGTAGGTCTCCCCTCCTCTTCCCCTGAGCTCTAGCAGCCCCAGCTTGGCTGTCATTGCTTTTTTATAGTTGTAAATTGGTAGATTTGTGGGAGAGAATGTTGCTGGGGAACGTCTATTCCACCATCTTCACCAGAAGTCCTCAGATGAGACTTTGGACTTTTAGGTTGGTGCTGGAACAAGCTAAGGCTTTTGGAACTGTTGGAATACAATGATTGTATTTTGTACATGAGACATAAGTTTTGGACATGTTTTGGGGGACCAGGGGCAGAATGAGAATTTGGATATGCTATCCCCCCAAAGCTCATGTCAAAATCTGATCCCCAATGTGGCAATATTGGGAGCTGTTTAGGTCAAGGGGGGCATGTCTCTCATGAATAGATTAACAACTTCCCTGGGGTGGGGGGGGTAGTGAGTTCACATTCTTAACTGGTTGTTTAAAGGACCCTGGCACCTCCCCTCTCTCTCTGTTCCACCATTTTCTGCCATATGAGACCTCTGCATTGCTTTAAAGCTACCACCAAAGAAGACCCTCATCAGATGTGTTCCCTGGACTTTTGATTTCCCAGCTTCTGAAACTACACAATAAATTTCGTTTTCTTTACAAATTACCTAGTTTTGGCTATTCTGTTATAAGCAGCAGAGATGGACTAATACAGACGTACACTTAAAAGATAATTATACTGCAACAGACTAAGTGCAATAGCCAAAGTGTGTACAATGTGTTGTGGAAGAACAATAGATAAACTGGTCTTGGAGAACAGGGGTCAGAACAGAAAGAGAATGGAAGAGGCTTAAGAGAGAAGCCTGCTTGAAACTGCAGCAACACCCCTAACCGGTTAAAATACCAGAAACCTCATCCTAATATCCAAAAGGTTCACTGAACCCTCATTTGAATAAAACTGCAAAGCTTGTCTTCAGGTCCTTTTCACTTCTCCTTCTTCTGATATCATCCAAACCAGGCACACTGAGCTCCCACTGGGGTACTGGTCTCCCTTAGCAGCAGCCCCTGTTTGGTCCCTAATAAGACTTAGCTGTACTGTTTTTTATTCTCTGAGCATCTTAGATTTGGGAGATACCTCAGAATCTTTTCCATAAATGACAAGCAGCATAAATACACAACAGATAAAAGAGGAATACTCTAGCTGGGCTTGGGGAGGGGGTGGGTTGAGATCTACACTCTGCCTTTTCCCCACCCTAACCCCCCACCTGCTTCCTCCTGGCAACCTCTGAAAAATCCTCAAAGAATACACCTAGGGTTCCCCAGAGTAGTCTGATAGTCACCAGCTCAGTAGAATCTCTTTATATTCACTCATTATTTTCTTAGGATCCCAATGACCTGCAATACATTCAAAATAGAAATCTGAGCATTTTGAGAATATTCAGTTTAATATGCAGAATACTATCACTGACAATCAATAGCAGTTTTATTTTTTTTGTTGTTGTTAATTTTCTCCCACTCTGTTGGTTGTCTTTTAGCTCTGTTAATTGTTTCTTTTGCTGTGCAGAAGCTTTTTAGTTTGTTATAGTCCCATTTGTTTATTTTTCCTTTGGTTGCCTGTGCTTTTGGGGTCATATTCATGAAGTCTGTGCCCAGCCCTATTTGCTGAAGGGTTTCTCCTATGTTTTCTTTAATAAGTTTTATTGTTTCGGGGTGTATATTTAAATCCTTGATCCATTTTGAGTTGATTTTAGTATATGGTGAGAGGTATGGGTCTAGTTTCAATCTCCTGCATATGGATATCCAGTTATCCCAGCACCCTTTGCTGAAGAGGGAGTCCCGACCCCAGTGAATAGACTTGATGCCTTTGCTGAAGATCAAATGGCAGTGAGTGCGTGGGTTGATTTCTGGGTATTCTATTCTATTCCATTGATCAGTGTCTCTGTTTTTATACCAGTACCATGCTGTTTTGGTTATTGTGGCTTTGTAGTATAGTTTAAAGTCAGGTAGAGTAATACCTTCAGCTTTATTTTTTTTTGCTCAGCGTTGCTTTGGCTATTCTTGGTCTTTTGTTATTCCAGATAAATGACTGTATAGTTCTTTCCATTTCTGAGAGATATGTCATTGGAATTTTGATGGGGATTGCATTGAATTTGTATATTACTTTGGGTAGTATAGTCATTTTCACTATATTGATTCTTCCAATCCAGGAGCATGGGATGTCTTTCCATCTTTTTGTATCCTCTCTAATTTCTCTCAGGAGTGGTTTATAGTTCTCGTTATAGAGATTTTTCACATCCTTAGTTAGTTCAATTCCTAGGTATTTTATTTTTTTGGTGGCTATTGTGAATGGGCAGGCTTTCTTGATTTCTCTTTCTGCTTGTTCACTATTGGTGAATAGAAATGCTACTGATTTTTGTGTGTTGACAATAGCAGTTTTAAATTAACAAATTTTTTTACTTTGCTCCCCAATTAAAACAGACTTAATGCAAGATTATGAACTCCTATAGCAAATACTAAACTAAAACCCAATACAATAAGCAAACAGGGAGAAAGGCAATAAACTGGGTTCTCTGCTTATTCCCTATGCTTTTACTAAGAAAAAATGGAATAAGGATTCAGTGGAACTAAAGAAAAACTTTGTTTTCTCTGTAATATAAATTAATATTCCTACTTAGTTTTACTGATGAAGAAAGGATAGTTCTATTCACAATACCTTTGCAACTACCCCCTAAATAACATTTTAAGGTCTCGATAAGGGTTGTTTGGTTTGTTTTAAATCAGTTCCTAAAATATAAAATGAGACCCTCGGGTTACAAAGCTTAACTAGGAGTACCTGTACAATCTTTGATGGATTGGGTGGCTTGGAGATTCAATTATTTTTTTAAAAATGAATTTTTTAGCAGAGGCTATCACACCATTCCTAAATTATTTTTTGAAAACATTTACCAAATGACTGGTACCTAAGGTATGACTATCTATGAAATTGCTTAGGGAGACTGAACTTCTGCATGAACCCCTTTCCTTTGGGAAAGTTAAAAAAAAGCAACAATTTGTGTCAAGGCTAATAGAAAGAATGACAACAAAATCCCTTGTTTGCTTTTATTTATTTTGTCATTTTAATGTAAGGTTGAAACAGACTGTTAGAACAATATTTGAGATTCCACAGAGAACTGCATGCTTTTGCTATTAAAAGACCTTTGTTGAAGCATCTGCACTTTACCTCTTAGGAACTGAATATGGAGGTTTCAAGCTTTTTTTGTCAGCACACAATCATCACAACAACCTTCTAGATGCTTATTTTCTACCTTTTCCTATAAAAGGTAATTCTCACTTACCAGAAGCCCACCACACCATTGAAGGATTCAAAGTTTCAGAGCTCAAAAGTGATTAGAACCCACGAATTAGCATAATTAGTACTCCAAAGCTTGGTTTAAATGTTTGAGGAACAGCAAACACTAAATAACATAATACCAAATAGAATACTGTTTCTACGTGGTAATAAATGACTCATCAACTAAAACCACCTAAGATCAAATTTTCCATACTCAGTTTCGATTGGTATAACACCTTCATTCTTAATGCTTCTTATGGCATCACAGGCTTTAAAAATTAAGCAATATAGTTTCAGCATTCCACAGTAATCATCACTTTCAAAAACTGCAATACATATCTGCATGTTACACAAAATACATTACATAAGCATTTTGTCATATATCAACTCTTAGCCTCAAATAATAGAATACAAAAAGCTATAAAGGACAAAACACAACAGAAGTTTTGGCTATTCTCTCTCCCCAGTTGTTAGCAGGTAGCACTTTCTTTAAAGAGAAAGCGATGAAAAATCAGAAATTTTGCATCCAATGTTTGACTTCAACTTTCTACTTTAGCGTCTTCTGGTACCACCATATCCTAGAATGAGAACAGTAAAATTTACATCCGTTTTTAAAATGCATTAGAATTGCTTATAAAGTTACAAAAGTAATATACATTTACTGTTAGCAAATAAATGAAAGAGATAGGGAAGGAGAGAATGAGCCAGTAGGTGGAGCAGGGCTATGCAGGACAGTGCAACCTCTCCCACAACAGCCTTCCCAATCGCCGAGCCTACTAAACTCACACATGCTTTCTGTGAATAACTTTCAGTTAGGAAACCAAAGGTGTGTTCTGTGGTGGGGCCAGCTTGACACAGGCAATCCCCAAAGTCCAAGCCAAATAATCAGAGAAGCCAATGGAGCATAAGCCACATCCTGCTACCTGCCACAGCTCCAGGGGTAAACAGATGTAATATGAGGAGGGCTATGGACTTTCGATGGTAGATAACAAGTCCTCCCACCTGGACAGTCTCAATTTTTTTCAGGTTTTCTTTTAGGTTATTTGGAAATGTTTGATGATTTTCTTCACCTAAGTCCCAAACATTTCTAGCTGATGGTTATGATTTTTTGTAAGTTTTGTCTCCACTAAGAATGAGTTTTCTTCTGTCATGACACAGGCTACCTAGCCATATTTTTACACATTCTCCCAATCATTACCCTTCTTTTTCTTCCCAAAAGTTACCCCCATCTTAATATCTAACCCCATAAGTTAGTTTTGCTTGTTTTGAGCATGTATATTCATAAAATATAAATGCTGTAATCATACTGTATATATTCCTTTGTATCTGGCTTCTTTATATTTGGTAGATCTATCCACATGATTGCACAGAACTGATCATTTGTTTTCACTGTTGAGCAGTATTCCACTGTATGAATATAACTCATTTTATTCATCCACTTTACTGCTGATGGACACGTAGGTTGCTTCCAGTTGGAGGCTATTATGAATAGGGATGTTAAGAATATTCTTGTGCTTATCTGTCAGTGTACAAGTGTGTGCATTTCTGTTGCTGTATATCTAAGAGTGAAACTGTTGGGTCCTGGGTACGCTTAGGTTCAACTTTACCAGGTAGTAAAAGTCTTTCAAAATGACTGTACCAATTTATAACCAAATCAGTACTATGAGAATTCCACTCTTACATTTAAAACATGTAAACTTCTTCATCAATTTCAAGAATTAATCACTGTTCTGTAACTTCTTTCTCCTGAAAAAGACAAATCTAGTCCACAGCAATTTACTACTGCCTCATTACCCTCCACCTCCCATTTTCTGCTGATTAGCTAGATGTTTAAACCCAGTTATTACTTTGTTTTCTATATACCTTTACTTCCTATAAAATTTCGTCTTAGCCACTGCAATAAACATTATAGTCACATTTTTGACAATTATTTAAAGTACAGCTCAATGCATTTTTTTAATTTTACTGAATTTAAAAAGTTCAAGTTTCTATATACCTTTACTTCCTATAAAATTTCGTCTTAGCCACTGCAATAAACATTATAGTCATATTTTTGACAATTATTTAAAGTACAGCTCAATGCATTTTTTTAATTTTACTGAATTTAAAAAGTTCAAGTTTCTGGGCTGGCCTGTTAGCTCAGTTGGTTAGAGCACACTGTTGTAACACCAAGATCAAGGGGTGGGATCCCTGTACCAGCCAGCTGCCAAACAAATAAAAAACAAAATTTTTTTTAATTTAAAAAATGTTCAAGCTTCAAAAAAAAGGAAAAAAAAAAAAATAGACACAAACAAACAAAAAAAAAAACCTAAAAGAAAAAAAGCTCAAGCTTCTACTTAGAAAATTCTGGTTATAACTTAAAGGATCCCTAGAGATCAGAGAATTAAACATATGTGGAAACTAACATCCAGGAAGGTTTAAGTTAAAACTTTGGTTAATGGCAGAACTGAGTCTAAAACAAATCCCTGTCTGATGTTAAAAGAATGTTTAGGAGTAGAAGGAAAGAATGAATCTGAATTATATTTTAATCTCAGTTATTTATGCTATTAATATTTTTGGTGAGTATACCAAATAAAACCATGATTGCTGAATACAGACTTAATCGTCTTCTTGAGTTCCCAAATTATTTCTGTACTTTACTGCAACATACTAGGAACTCCTATGTCTTTGCTCTTACCTGATGCAGTTCTGGTTCTTGTCTCTGAGTTGGAGCACGCCGAATAGCTCCCTGAGCCCCCACGAACCGGTGAGTAGGCACGACTACTCCACGGGCTGGAGTACGACGGAGGGTGAGACGGGTAGTACCACGAGTCTGAAAAGGGCGTCGCCGCTCTTTAAAGACATAACAGTGGGTTTAGCACCTTTCTCATGACTGTAATTTTTAAATACCTTCCTGTTCCTAAACCCTGTTCCACCAGAGGAAAAAAACATCTTGATCAAATGTTTTTTCCTGAATGTTCTGGTATATGAGGGTTAACATGAAATAAGTATCGTTTTATATTTCTGTCACTGTTATGGTCATTGCTATGGGGGAAGCAAGTGACAGGGAGTTAATGCTCTTTCTTTCTGAATTTGCACTCAAAATCTAAACTTAAACTGCCATTACTCAAGACACTCCAAAATCTGGCCCCAAGAGCTTTCCAGACTTGTTTTCATCATTCTACCAAACCAGGTTGCTAGCTGTTCCCCAAACACTGTGTTCTTTCCTGCCTTCTCATTTTCTTAGACATCAAGTAAACAGTCTTTCTCCTATCTCATAATATCTATGAAGATGACATAGGAAGGAAGAAACAAAATGAAAGAAATTAACATATACTGATCAAAGCACATATAGTGTACTTCCGCCATCCCCAGAGAAACTGAATAGGGTGATGCCACCATAATTTATTTTCCTTAAGAAAACCAAATGCAGCCAAATTGAAAGCAAATCAAAGAAACCTCTAAAGAAAAGGTGAATTAAAGAGCAAGTAAGATCAATGGAAAGCCTACCTATTGCTGCCAAACAAATATCCTAATATTCCTCCAGTTCCCAGGCCAGTCCAGAACCCAGGTCCTGTATTTTCACATCCTTGTTGTCCTGCGAAAGCAGTGCCAAAACCAGAAGTTGCACCATGGCCAGTATGCTGCGGTCCTAAAAACAAAAATGATTTATTATATTATGTATCCTCATGTAAAGATAATATAGCCTACAAAAGCAAAGATAATATTTCAATTATTTCATCTGTACTGTACTATTAATAATACTCAGGCCTCAACTTATAAACAAGTTTTGTATTAAAAAGGGTATTTGTAAAATATTGGTTCATAACTAAGGAGTGCATTTCCCACAGACATGGAGGAGGGATGTATTTTGGGACTAGTGGGAGGGTCTTCCTATAAAGTTACATCTGCCCTGCTCAATAGCAGCTACTAGAAGATGACCCAATTTTTCAGAATTATTTCCTTTCTGTATAGCAAATGTCTCTAAAAGCTCTGGGTAAGAGCTGTATCTGAGTTTCTAACAGAGGAATCCAAGTGGAAGCAGCCAAATATTTACTTGCATTAGTTGGGAAGTCAGATCTTAAAGGGACCTAAAAAGTATCTTCTGCTCTATGAGTCAATCCCACTGTTGCAGAGATCAGTAGTTTGTTTTTTTTTTTTTTTAACTCATGTGTATTATTCCATTGTGTAAAAAAACTATTTGTCCCATTCTAATATTTACAGATATTCTATTTCCAATTTTTGACTGTTATGGATAAAACTGCTATGAAAATTCTTGTGCACGTCTCTCAGTGCACATATACATTCGCTTCTCTTAGGTATGTATGTAGGAATGGAACTGCTGGTCACAGGGTAGGCATGTTTAGGTTTAGTAGATATTGACAGTTTCCCAAAGTGTTTTACCATTTTAACTCCTGTCAGCAAAGAATGAAAGTTCCCGTCATGTACATCCTTGCCAATACTTCGTACTCCGTCTTTTTAATGCTAGCCATTATGGTGGTTAGCTGGTGGTTAAAAATAATCGCACTGTGGTTTTACTCTGCACTGCCCTGAAGACTAAGGATGCTGAGCACCTTTTCATATCTGTACTGGCCATCTGGACATCTTCTTTATTATAAAATGGCTGCTCAGCTCCTCTATCCATTTCAAAACGGGTTGTCTTTTCTCAGATTTGTGGGAGTTCTTTAAACATTCTAGATGATATGTTTTACAAATATTTTCTCCCAGTCTGTGGCTTGCCTTTTCAATCTCTTAATAGTGTCTTCTGATGAACAGGTGTTCTTTATTTATTTTTTTTTTTTTTAAGATGACCGGTAAGGGGATCTTAACCCTTAACTTGCTGTTGTCTGCACCACGCTCAGCCAGTGAGCCAACCGGCCATCCCTATACAGGACCCGAACCCGTGGCCCTGGTGTTATCAGCACCACACTCTCCCGAGCGAGCCACGGGCTGGCCCTAGGTGTTCTTAATTCAAATAAAGTCTGATTTATCCATCATTTATTTTACGGCTAGTACTTTTTGTGTTCTCTTTAAGAAATCTTTAACACCAAGGTAAAGGGTTGGGTTACCCGTACAGGCCAGCCACCAAGAAAAAAAAAGAGAAAGAAATCTTTGCCTATCCTTAGGTCATGACAAATATTCTTCTATGTTTTATTCTACAAACAATTGTTTTAGCTTTTATGTTGAGATCTATAACACTTCATGAATTAACTTTTATGTATAGTGTGAGACAGGGGTCAAGGTACATGCTTATCACCAAATCTGATCAAGTTTTCCTGATTAAGATGATTTACGATTTAATCAGGCATGCTTAAAATAGTAACCATAATATATCCCTATAGAGAAGTAGAATAGAAGAGGTAAAAGAAGTTGAAAGTGTAAGACAAAATGAGGAGACAAATCTTTGGTTTCCCAATGCAATCATTTTCTATTTCCAAAACAAGCACAGACAGGATTCACCATCTCCCATCTACCCAGGAAACATACCTGTGAATTCAGACTTAAAGCCTGGGGGAGGGGGTCCTGCTGAGTTGGTGAATCTCTGAGAGCGGTGGGAATATGGAGGATACTCAGAATATGGTGGAGGAGAACACTGAGTATCACTAAGGAACAACTTATAAACTACAAAGGCAATAGTAAGTAGCACCACGATGGTAATCAATCCACCAGTGCCACAGGAATCTGCAGAGTACCACTTATAATAAAAATCAGAGAAAGAGGTAAAGCCGTGCCGTTTTCCAGATTCTTTCAATTTCTTCAGGCCAAGTTCCGTATAATCTAAGTTATACTCCAAGCCACAGGAACCTCTGAGTACATACTGATCTTCAGAGGATTCATAGCCTTCACAGCTCACCACGGTTTTACCAAATTTGTATGCAATATCTAAGTCCGTCTTACATTCCCACTGTGAAGAAAAATAGAAATAGGTTATTAGAACCAAAAGATTTTTTTTCTTTTTTTTTTTTTTTAAAGATGACTGGTAAGGGGATCTTAACCCTTAACTTGGTGTTGTCAGCACCACACTCAGCCAGTGAGCGAACCGGCCATCCCTATATGGGATCCGAACCCGGGGCCTTGGTGTTTTCAGCACCACACTCTCCCGAGCGAGCCACGGGCCGGCCCGAGATTTTTTTTCATTTAATATGTATTATTTGAGATATATATGTCATAAAACTGCAAAATGAAGCAAGAGAATGATCAACAAAATTCTGCGTGATGAGTACTTCTGTGTTGGGGAGAAGGCAAACCAGGGGCTTCAAATATAATGGTGATATTAGTATTCTACTTCTTTTTTTTTTTTTTTAAAGATGACCGGTAAGGGGATCTTAACCCTTGATTTGGTGTTGTCAGCACCACGCTCACCCAGTGAGCGAACCGGCCACCCCTATATGGGATCCGAACCCGTGGCCTTGGTGTTATCAGCACCGCACTCTACTGAGTGAGCCACGGGCCGGCCCCAGTATTCTACTTCTTAAGGTGGGTGATGAGTACACAATTTCATTTTATCTTTATTCCTTACATGTACATGTTATATTTTTGTACATAATAGGTATTCTATAATTTATAAAATTTAAGCAAAATTTTAAATGTCAACTTTTTGCCACCATTGTTCAAGATGCTTTCTTTAAAAATAGGAATTTTGGGGGCTGGCTGGTTAGCTTAGCTAGTTAGAGTGTGGCCTTATAACACCAAGGTCAAGGGTTCAGATCCCTATATCGTCCAGGCACCAAAGACATAAAATTAAAACAGAAATTTTTTAAGATGTTAAACCTCAAAAATCAGAATATATATAACATCAGCGATATTATACAACCTTCTGAGAAAAAAACTTCCTACACAAATTTTACAAAACCATGAACTAACCTTCCAGGGTCCAATCCTATGTAATTAAGTTTTTTAAAAAAAATACTCAGGGGGCCGGCACGTGGCTCACTCGGTAGAGTGCGGTGCTGATAACACCAAGGCCGTGGGTTCCGATCCCATATAGGGATGGCCGGTTTGCTCACTGGCTGAGC